GGAGTCATCTTACTTTTTTCTTAAATGGAAATGCAATAAATGAGCCGGCTAAATGGCAGCTAAGAAAAGCTTAGCAATGTTTGAATTTAATATGGAATTTCATTGATAGAGTGTAACTCCTTAATCTGATGGCTAGAAAGTATTTTTTAAATTTCCACCCAATATTTAAAGGAAACTAGGTTTTTAAAAAATGGCATTTCTGTCCAACTGCTAAGATATTGACCAAATCACTGACATATCAGAAAACCTAAACTTCTGTATCAGTTTTGTCACTAAAAGCTATGTTCATTTTGGGCTCCTTTAAACCACAAATCCTCAGACATGCACTGAGTCCTAGACTGAACATACTTGAATCAGCTAAACTGGGATTCCACATACACATACACACACACACACACACACACACACACACACACACACACACACTGAGTGGTTCTCTGCCACTCTCCCTCTTCAATGACTATTTGGGGTGGGGGGTGGTCAAGGGGCAGAGAGGGAGGGAGAGAAAGAATCCCAAGCAGGCTCCACAATGTCAGCACAGAGCCCAATGTGGGGCTTGATCCCATTACCTGAGATCATGACCTGAGTTGAATCAAGGGTTGGACACTAAACCAACTGAGCCACCCAGGTGCCCCCTCTGCAAGTACTATAATTCTGAATTTCCATGGGCTCATCATCATCAGATCAGTGCATAGCTGGCAATGAGCAGAGAGGATGAGCTGGGATTGGAAAAACAGTCCACACACACAAAGCACAAGTTCTGGGCATGATGGAACAGAGGACATGTGACCAAAAATAATCCCATAATTCTTACTAATGTTTTTTTGTTAAGCATCTAAAAGGTGGAAATATACTGATATTTACTTATGGGATGATAATTTATGCTTATTGTAATAATACCATGAGGGAAATATCTAATTACCCTCTTGCCTAAGTAATCCCATGGGTAGATGATATAAAATTTTCTTTTTTTTAATATTAACAAGAAACACTGTGTTCTATAATATCTCAAGTTTCTAAAATCACATATTTCTTCTTCATTCACTGACCGTAAAATTGTACATTTAATTTGCAATTGAATCCTTTTTTGGAGGGTCTCTCAAGGTCAGGCAAACAGGGTGGGTTTGAATAGAGATGTAGCAAATAACTTGTTTCTTTCTTTTTTTGATTTTTAAAGTTTATTTATTTATTTATTTATTTATTTTTGAGAGAGCCAGAGACAGTGTGAGCAGGGGAGGGGCAGAGAGAAAAGAGAAAGAGAATCCCAAGCAGGCTCCCTGCTGTCAGAGCAGAGCCTGACACAGAGCTTGAACTCATGAAACTGTGAGATCATGATCTGAGCTGAAACTCAGAGTCAGATGCTTACCAGACTGAGCCACCCAGGCACCCTGCAAATAATTTTTTTTCTAAATGTTGACCATGTTCCAGAAGACAGATGGTATAACCCCTACCTATGTAATGTCTGGCTGATTGTGTCAGGATGATAATAAATCATTTCTGGATTTTCCATCTAAAGTTTCTTTTTGTTCCTTCCACTCTGCTCTCTCTACCTTTGAGTCACAAAATTTTCTCTCTCCTTCCATCTTCCAGAACCAGGCCAACTAACTGTCACTCATGACAATTACTACCTTCTATCTCCCAGATATGGGAAGAGGCCCATAGTGGCAGGTCTCAACCCATGCTGTCCATCAAAATGCCTTGTAGAAAACTTGGAATGTAGACCTACCCAACGACCATCCTGAAGGTTATGAGTGCCAAAGAGTCTCTCACTTCTAGATAATTCTCATATATAGCCAGGGTTGATAAACACTAACAGAGGAACATAAATTCTAATTTTAGGCATATGTAAAAGTGATAAAGCAATATATGTTTACCTAAGCAATTATACTCGTCTCGTGGAAACTCCTACATACAAAACCAGCATCAAGGAAGTTGGCCTTTGGTATAGGCCTTCTTTAAAATCATGGAGAAGCTACTATTTCCTGGCACGCAGAACTCACTCAGCCTATGTCTGGGAATACCCTTTGTGTTCAGACTTCTTTAATATCATAGAACTGATATTAGAAACCACAAGTACAATTGAGACCATGTTGGGAATATTATACAGTGGGTCAATATTGGTTAAGCAGCATTTGGGGTGTCGGGATGTTATAGCTCTCTAAGAGTTCTTGAAAATCTACCATGCAGATTTGCACAGCTAAACTTCCAGAAGTAGTTAGCTACAATCACATTGCTTAGTACGAGACACCAGCCACATACACCTATGGAGTACTTGAAATAAGGCTAGCCCACGTTAGGATTTGTTGTCAACGTAAAACACACACAGATTTCAAAGACTTCATACCCCCCCCCAAAAGTGAAGTATCTTTAAATGTTTACATTGATTATTACTTGAAATAATAATATTTGTAGATATTTGTAGCTATTGTTTTAAATAAAATGTATTATTAAAATTAGTTCACTAGTTTCTTTTTATTAACGTGAACTATTAGAAAATGTAAGGTTGTGTGTGTGGCTCGCATTATATTTCTACTTTATAACACTTACCCATAATTACTTCCGCCCCAACACTTATCACAAATGTCATCCTTTTCATAGACCTCATCCTATCCTCTCTCACCAACACTTACTGTACCATAAATGTAATTATTCTCCATGACTGGCTTTATTCAGCTTCTATCAGCCAAGCCATCAAGTTGGTACTCCACCTCAAAAAACTTAAAATTCAAGGTTTCCACGTAGGCTTCTAGTCTTCTGGGATCACGGAGAATAAGAATTCCTACTGAAAAAACCTGAACACCTCTGTTGAATATAAATTTGTAAAAAAACAAAAACAAACAAACAAAAAAAAAAAGCCTGCTCCAGACTTCATTTGTGCTAAGGGACACACTTCTCTCTTGTGGTGAAACACCCTAGCTCCATAAGAAAGACTGATTTCCCACCACAGGAACCAAAGACCTAAAAAAAAATCTTTGCACTGAAGGTACCAGAAGTTTTCCTTCAGAGTCCGGGGTTGAACAAGAAGAAGCCAGACGAATGCCATGGGTCCCTAAGTCTCCTTCATGCTGCTGAACATCTGTCACTCTGCCAGAATTTTCTTTGCCAGCTTGGGAGGTCGCTCATCTTGAATGCCTGACCCAGCTCTAGAGTCTCCCTTCTGAATATGTCAGCAACCTCTCAAGATGTTGTCTTGATCTTCCCACACAATGCCCTGTGGCATGTCCCATAAAAAACAGAGGGAAGGCATATGGCAGTGGGATGAGATGCGGAGATCACGGAGTCAAATGAGACTTGGCTTAAATCCCTTATTCCACCATTTATTCTCTTTCTTACTTCAGTCAAGTTAAAACCTAGATTTCCTCGTCTATAAAATGAGGAGAGTAATAAAATATACTGGATGTAGAGTCTACTGGTTGGATACAATATACATTCACGAACCCCCCCCCAGTTGCAGCTGGAAACTTGACTCCCAGGTAACAACATTTTCCAGTCTCTGTGACTAGACTTGTCAGGTGACCGGTTTCCAGCAAGAGGGTTATAAACAGAAACAATACATGTAATTCTGGGTCTGTGACCTTCAGCTTCCTTCCCAGAGCTTGGAACATGGAGCTGATATCAAGCCATGTTGGATCATGCAGATGGGAACGAGCTTAAGGAATCCAAAGGAACGAAACAGAAGGTACTAGAGCAAGCCTAAGCCTCTGTTATTGAGGCTTCTATTGCATTAGCTGATATGTATCCTAATATGCCCAAGGAAGTACAAAATGAAAGAAGAGAGTGCACATAAAACGCTTAGCATAGCGACTAACTGATACTAAGCACTTGCAAACGGAGGCTTTTATTTTCATAAGCAATAGCCCTACATCTAGCCACTTTTCACAGACTTCCAGAAAAATACACACAGACACATGCAAGGAGAATAAGCCAAGCCAAATTCACTGATTAGAACACGCATGATACGACGTAGAATGCAGAAATCTAGAGGCTGGTAGAATTTCCCCCGAGCCTTAGGAATCAAAATTGGTACAATAAATGCTCTGTACACCATGCTAACCCATGGGGATCTGGATTGCCTGCTCTGTACAGGTGGAAATCACGATGAGGCTGCTAAGTGGGACCAGCAGAGAAACACATCTGTGCCAGCTCATGCTTCATTACTTCAGACGGCTCCCTTTCAAAAAGCTATCTGGTCATTCAATTCTGATGTCTTTTGTCCTGTTCGATGGATGAAGACGAGAGCAAAGACAGCAAGTTTTAATGACTTCCTTCTCGATAGGTACAGAATAAACAATCTTTCCCTCTTGGCAGCAAAGAGGCCCAAGCTTAGAAGAAGAGCTGTCTCTCTCCCTCTCTCTAGGAGTCCGCCATCTTGTATCAGCCCGATGCTAAGTATGCACGCATTCCCCTTGCTTGGGTAGAATCTTTTAAATAGTTAACTATTGGAAATAGCCCTATGCCAGAAAACGGAGGAAACTGTGGGTGAATGTGGATTCCTGCAGATAAATCCTAACTACTAAGGCACGCTTTCTGCATTTAGCAGATGTTAAGTGAAGCTCCTAGCACAGATGTCCCAACCTATAGAGAAACTGTCCTTTTCCAAAGGAAGGGGCCATTGAGGTCTTAAGGCCCCAGAGTGAGAGGCCCGCCTCGTTTACGAACATACTGGCACAATGGCATCCTATAAATGGGAGTGTCAGCATTTCATCCCCTATCTGCCCCAGAGTGTGATGTCCTGAGATTGAACCCGTTCCATCTCAGCACCCCGAGACAAGACTGGATTGATTCACTGCTCAGCAACCTTCACATATGAGATTATGGCCTGCATACCAATGGCAAAACAGATCCTGCGTGTGCCCTCCGCGTGGCATCCAGAGCCTCTCAGGAAGCCTGTGCAGACACGCTGGGATGGAATGCCTGATGCCGGCTCCAGGATGCCCAGGTTAGATCAGAAGCATGGCAACTGTCAGCGAGTATGAAGATAATCAGGACTGAAGTCACACCTTTTGGTTCAGCAGAGGCCAGCAGCCTGAATTTTTGTTGGTGAGCTGCAAGGGTAGGATCCAGCGTGTCACGTCTAATAACTTTCCTGTCTGAAGTCTGATGTGCTAAGAGATCCGGGCTGCTCACGTTAAAAGCTGGGTTCCCAATGCCTTCCGTAGCCTCTCTATCTTCTTTAACTAGAGCAAAACAAGGAGGTCAGAAGATCATTCTAAAGCAAAATGCATTCCAATGACAAGCAGAAAATTCCTCCCAGTAATTCTTGTGCGGAAAGACTCAAGTGTATCATCCTCAAATGTCACCAAAACAGAATTAGGTTAAAATTAACTCTTAAAAAAAAAAAGAATAAATGATTAAAATAATTACAAATTGCACCCTGACAAGCAAGAGCAAAATTTCGCCCACAGCCATTTGTCTGTAATTAGTTAATTAATCCTTACACAAATTATGAGCAATAACTCATCAAGCAAGGCTCACCCATCAGAAATTCAGCCCACTTGGATTTCTTCTGCTTAGTTTGCTTCAGAGCCTTCTGCCGAAACTTCTGGAGGGAAATTGTTAAATGAATAAATTAGCTAAAGAATGAAGATCATCATTTATGATCCACAACTAACACAGGATTTTAAATATGGGATGGCACTGAAATGTCATTTAATTTACATCTCTCCTAAAGGGGTCAAACACTAATTGAACAACAGAAGTGGAAGAATTAAATAAAAGAGGATAAGAAAAGTTAATACAAATGCCAAATGAAGGTCACGTTCAAATACTTTGTTTTTATCATTTTTAATTAATGCAAAGGGCCCTCAACAAATTAAGGACACTAGCCAATTTGCACAGAGAAGCTTGCGCTGCAGGATTGACAGGAATTCGGACAGTGCTATGATGCCATTTCATTTCGGCGAGATAGAATGATCTTGTAGAAAACGTGCTCAGCGTTGGTGCTTGCTTGTGTCCATATTTGTTTTAAACCGCTAAGTTCCAGCGTGTGAATTAATTCCTTCTTGAAATCTAACCAGGGATAAACATGATCCAAAATTTCAGCAAAAGTCAAAATGATGTGAAATGCCAAGAGTTTCATAGTCTCCTGGGACTTACACAAATTTCATAAAATGCCACCTCACTGAAAACCAGAATTCATTACGTGACTGGGAAAGCCATTAATATGAGAATGCATAATAAATGTTCAAAAATGAAAATGAATAGCCAGAAATATTATTAGAGTCCTCAGACTCCTACAAGTTCCAAATGAATCCTTGATAACTGTCAGACTAAATTTTAAAAATATCCGTGGTGGAAATGCTCAAGTTTCAGATTAAATTATAAAATTTAGGTGAGCCATAAGCCAAAGAGCCAGAAAGATAAAGCATGTAGAAATGAGCAAGCCACGGTTACATGTAAAGATGGCGTATCAGACAACGCATCAAATCAAGTTTCTGACGACTAGATTCAGAATAACAAAATGTCGTGTCCATTTTACAACCCTGTGTCATTGCTTTTACTAGATCTCCTGGAGCTTCTAACATTGCCATTTTGCATTACAGTGTTTGGAAAAAACCCGACTTCTTTTTAAAAACCTCTTTCCTTATTCTTATAAATATCACAAAGCAATTAAATCATAATACAACAGGTTGCATAAATAGCCCGGTATCGTAAAAGCATGTTAAAGATTTAGGAGCAAATAGTCCACGTAGCCAACCCAAATGCAGGACCTGTTTTTCTGAGAATCTCCTCTTTGAAACATAAGGCAAATAGTGTGCAATAGGTTTAAAACAAAATGTATTTAATGTGACTGTAAACGAAATCAAGGAAAAACATGTACTCCAGAGATCTTTTTTCTAAAAAGGTGGTGAAGAGAGCCCCGCAGGGGTAAAAATCACAATCCCGCCCACCAAAAAAAAATTTCTAGTATTTCGAGATTTTCTTTTAAAGGAAATGCATAATGACTCTTATTTAGACAAAAGTCCAATAATTGTAAAGACTTTTTTGTTGCTTTCAGGAATTCTGATATTTCTTTTTAACATCCACTGTCAAAGTAGCGTGATGTATTCTGTGCAATTGCTCTATTTAAAAGATAAAAATAGGATCACAACCTGATAGAAATCCTAAGATGTGTAGTATTAGGGTCGTGTATGAAAATGTACGCTGAAATCACAAGAGAGAATACATTTCACTAATTTACATCCCTTCTCAACTTTTAAATTAAACGCAGAAGATGACAGGCACTAAAAACTCGGTAAACTTTTACAAACAGTAGTTCAGAACTGCAAGAATGTTCCCACCTTTAGGAAGACAGAGGGTGAAGTATGATTTTTTTTTCACAGCCTCCATCTAAAGTGGCAGCAGATAGGAGTCTTCTTGACGTGGTTCAGTAATCCTGCGACTTCAACTCCTTTCAGATCCAGTTAAACACGCTTTTAAGTAGATGGATGTGGCCTATTAATAGACCTCATTTCCTTACTAAGGGCTTCAAATGAAATTATGTGCTTTCTCTCGAATGTTTAAAAAGGTCTCAAAGATATTTTTTTCACGAGTTCACGTATTTAAAAGGAAGGCCAAGTCTGATTGTACACACCAGAGATAAATTCTTGGAGGGGATTAGCAAGTGAGGGATTGTATTTTGTGACCTCTTTACTACTAACACATGTTCGAGAGGAAACGGGCAGTGATTTCCCAGTGCTCTCCTTGGCCAATTCCTTTCCGCTTTCCTCTCTACACATGAGCACCTTTAAAGGGGGTAAATTGCACCTTCAACCACCCCACCTCGATTCAGATGCCCTCCTTCCTGATGAGATTTTCTCTCCCCAGCTCCTGCAAACGAACCTTTGCTTCTATTTCACATTAATGCCTTCATTCTTTGCCACTGGTTAAGTTAGCTTATTTATGGAACTTGTTATTATTCTTAATAAGCTCACATCAACCTATTAAAGATGTATATGGCATTTCAAAAATCAAATCGAGAAACAAAATTTGATCATCAGTACCTTCCTGCTTCTCACTGATACCTACTTAGTCCTGAAGAAAAGCAGAATGTTTAGAAATCTTGACCAAACCAACACAGATAGGCCTGATGTCTTTTATTTTTCAGCCCTTTACGTTGCTATTTCATTGCTATAACCTAACTCTACATCAAATCAAAGCAAGCAGTTTCTGGGAACACGTTTGTTTTGCGTGTGTGCTTAAATAGTGCTGAATCCGGTCTTTCAAACATGTTTTGGTAAGGTTATCCCCCTAAATATGGACTACGTACTGTGGAAGAAAGCAAGAAATACTTTGTGATTTGAACAGAGGGGAAAAGAAAAAAAGAAGGAAAAAAAAAAAAAAACCTGCCTGGAATTGGTAAGACCTGACAGTGTTTGGGACAATACACATCCTCTTCGTCCAAAAGAACAACCAATGCCTTTTCATGCAACATGGTCAACTTGAAAAAATAATAATTGTAATAATACCGCGACAGAGTCGAGAACACGAACAACAAACTCATTTATAACCAGTGGCGAGCCACACGTAGGAAGTTTTTTTAAAAATGTGGTTGTCGTCGGGAGGAATGGGGTCCCCCCCCAGCGCAGCGCTCAGCTCGGCTTGCAGTCAAAGCCATGGCCGAGGGGCGCGGCCAGCCTGGTGGGCACAGACCAGCAAGAAAGTGAATACTGCATACTGCACAGATCATTGCTCGGTTCAGGGCAGTCAGATTGCATCTGGGATCAACCGATCGTGCGTGATGAAACCGTCAGCCCTCATTTGTGTCTAGCTGTTTTCCTCTGTCCGGCTGTAAACAAGGCCGGCTGGGGGTTGTCGGCCTCCCCTCGCGTGCGCGGGGAGACCTCACAGTCCGACCTCGCCAGGGGCCTCTGCGCGCACCAAACAGTTCCATCTTCCGGACAGCGGTTCCAGAGCACGACCGGCAAGTCACAATGTGAGGCCACTTAGGAGTGACAGAGTCAGGGCCTCCTTTCAGAAACATGCCTTAGATTCCTACACATTCTGGCAGGGCACGTCTCTTCCATGAAATTAATTTAGGTGTTCCTGACATGAACAACTGTGTTTTTTCATTGTTGTTGTTGTGTTGTGTTGTGTTGTTTTGTGTTTTCCAGCAGACTAGCTCAGCAGATTCATCTTGTTGGGGAGGAGGGAGTGGTGGAGATTGTTTTAGTTGTTTCACTGCTGTGGGGCTTTGCTTGGATCAGCCAGAAAACAAAACCAAAAAAAAAAAAAAAAAAAAAAATAGACATGGATAGAAATACTGTGGATCTGGTCCACCTCCAGGAACCTAATCATGCCTGAATTGCTGGGAGGAGTGTAATGATGGTAAACAGGAACAGGTATGTTGGCTTCTGTTCTCATCCACTAGGGCCACATTGTTGCCTTTACAATAAAGCAAAAGACTGTCTTGAAGGAGTGGCATCTCAGTCATAAAAGGCAGGGGCTGTCATTGAAGCCATTTTCCTGGGCAAGTGGCAAAAAGGTAACATTTAGTATTCACTACACTGAGTTCTCCTAGCCAGCTGGTCGTCCCTGTTAAGACTTTCATTTATGCAGCTTGAGCTGGAACCTTTTTTGTTCTCCCGGTCTATTACTTTGTCTATTTAAGGGATAACAGCCAAAGTGAAACAGCTTGCAATTTGCACCTGTCTGCTCTGAACATTCCATGTTGGATTATATAGAGAGCAAACTCTTCATTGCTAATGAGAACAAGACTGGGTTAAGGCTGAATGCAGTTTTGTTGGGGGACCTAGAGGATATTTTAGTGGGCTTTCTCCCCTTTTCTAAATAATTTGATAGGGACCACCATATTCTCGTGTTTTAGAATTCCTAGAGTAAAAAAAAAAAAATGCAACTCAGAAAAAATGCAGTGAGGTTGTGTATTCTTTAAAGGAAAATTTAAATGCCATGTAACTAAGAATTAAATCAGCATTCAATTGTCTCAGATGAGAGAGAAAAACTTTAAACGCTAGGTTATTTCCAAATTGTTGTAAGCACAAAATACCTAGAGAGACCCTTAATTTATAAAATTGGCCATGAAAAAAAAGTTGATAAAAAAAAATTGGGGGATGTTACAGGAGAAGGACTGGTTTGGGAAATAATATTGAGTGTCTGAAAGTGAACCAACGCTCTCTGCTTGTATTATCTTTGAACTTTTAATTGACTGGATGGAAAAGAAAAATTCAAGTGACTGAGTTCCAAATCATACGTAGATAGATGTATATGTGATATCATCATGCAAATCACAGAGCACATTCTCCACAAATGCAAAAGTGCCAGCCCATGATTCTCTCCAACCTTTTCTGGAAGTCCTCTGCAGCCCCCTTAGCTCTGAGGAGTTATATCAGTGAGCCACCATCTATTTTTAAAGAATGTAAATTAAGTGAAAGAACTTGAAGTAAGGCTTATGACATTTTCCCAAACCTTGTGGATATTTTTTTTTTTTAAATCATAATAGGGGCGCCTGGGTGGCGCAGTCGGTTAAGCGTCCGACTTCAGCCAGGTCACGATCTCGCGGTCCGTGAGTTCGAGCCCTGCGTCAGGCTCTGGGCTGATGGCTCGGAGCCTGGAGCCTGTTTCCCTTGCTGTGTCTCCCTATCTCTCTGCCCCTCCCCCGTTCATGCTCTGTTTCTCTCTGTCCCAAAAATAAATAAATAAAAAACGTTGAAAAAAAAATTTTTTTAAATAAAAAATCATAATAATAATGTTCAGATAATTTTCCAAAATATCCTTGAAGACTATCCAAAATTTAGTAAAATCTATGTATGTATAAATTAAATATATACATGTACATATATACACATACACAGAATATATACTGAATATATATGAGAACAATGTAATATGCTGAATATATATAAACTATATATATATATATCCACACACACACACACACACACACATATATATATATAGAATATATATTGAAAATATATTGAAACAGAATAACAGGATATATATATATACACATTATATATATATATACATGATATGTATATATATATATACATATATATATTTGTGTGACATTTGGATTCCAGAAATCCCTCACATTGGCACCTTCTGTTACAGTGCTAACTGCTACGGCGACAAGCTTAATGAAGCCAAGGTGGTCACAAATATTGTCTCACTCGTAACTTCTATAGTTCACTGTGGCTGCTGGCGCACATCTTGCCTGACAGATAACGTCCCAGCTCGTCAGTGATGGACCCTCTCATGCGACTTTAGGAGTTCTGTCAGCCACGGCCGAGTCTGGTCAGGTCAAAGGGTTGAGCCATGTGTAATTCAGAACAGAGGAGGTCCCACGGTCTCGCCACAAAAACAATTACACTACTTATTTCGCTCTAGCCCTTGCCCCAAACTCACAAGCCTCACATTTTCAGGGCAGTCAACCTAATTCTGCCCCTGGGCGATAAGCCACATGAAAATATGTGCTGCTGTGTTTATAAATCTAATCAAAAATAGAAACAGTGGACGGGCTCAGTGAGGTCCTATTATGGATCATGGGAATCCCTGGAAATTCTGAAGGCACTTTTGTTTGACTTCCGTAGACTCTCTTTTGCTATTACATTGTCTGCTACACTTCGTTAATCATCCTCTTTACTCGTGAGTGCTACCAAGGAGGCTAAATTTCTGCTCACTCCTCCTGTACTTTTCAAGTCCATGGATGATATTATGAAAAATAAAGCTTGAAAGGCTGCTTTTAAAGGAAAAAATCAGAAGAGGGAACTACGGTTATAGCCATCTTACCTCTCTATCCATGTTCTCAGCCCCTTGCCCTTGGCGATGCACAGATTTAAATCAAGTCCCCCTAAAAAAGACAAATAATATGTAAAAAGTAGAATAGGGGCGTCTGGGTGGCTCAGTCGGTTGGGCGTCCAACTTCAGCTCAGGTCATGATCTCGTGGTCCATGAGACCGAGCCCCGCGTCGGGCTCTGTGCTGACAGCTCGGAGCCTGGAGCCTGCTTCCGATTCTGTGTCTCCCTCTCTCTGGCCCTCCCCCAGCTCACACTCTGTCTCACTCTCTCTCTCTCGAAAATAAGTAAACATTAAAAAGAAAAAATACTTTTTTTAAGTAAAATAAATTCGTCTGACCAGGAGGGATATGAAGCAATTTGGGGCTGGAGAGCTAGGATGTTACTTAATGGTCCCTTAAACACTCCGTGTCGAGCCAACAGATTTTGATTTGGGGTCCTGTTTTTATTGTTGTTCCAGACTTCTACTAAACCGAAAGTCAGTGAATATTCACAAAACGGTTTATGAAGGTAATGCGTGGGAAAAATTCAGACTTGATTAAGACAGTCCAACCTTCCTGTTGTATGCCAAGAGGTGACTAACTCAGACTGCCCTGAAATTATGCTAAAAATGTGCTGTTGAGGCTTTCGTTAGCTGTACTACATTATCTCTTTATAAAACAGTATCCAGGGTCGCAACTGTCAAAAATAGATAACGTCTGATAAAGTCCATGATAAGTATATGCACTTAAGGACCAAGCAGATTAAATTCTGAGAACTTCATCCACCAAAGATGCGTACACAAATTTTCGTGAAAGGCAGTGTGGGATAAATTATCAGGTTTAATCTGCCAGCGATTACATTTGATATTGTTTCAGTTGAGAAAAATACTGCCCTAGAACACAGTCTGGGACCAGATGATTATAAAAATACGTGGAAATAATAATAAGTGAGAATTTTTTTAACGAGCAATGTAGTCCCAGCATTTATTAGATTATCATAAGCATTCGCCAAAAGAGCCTTTTAAACTTGGAATTTGCCCTTTCAAAATGGTTATCAGTATTTGGCAGTAAAACAAAGTACATCATGTATGAATGATACAGGGGACACATTTTGTTTTTTTTTTTACTTTGGAGAGCTCTCAATCGTAATTTTAAAAAGTCACTTCACAATGTGCATATGAGCTCTTCTATGGCTAACAATGTTGAAAAATGAAAGATCTCAGTCCTTCCAGTGTTAATTGTAAAACGTACTCGTTTATGTCTGAGTAACATAAAAGATTCAAAGATTATATTGACTACATCCTAAAATGAGGGAAGTGTGTATAAAAGTTTTTAAAGGAAAAGAGTCCACATCAAAATGAGGAAATTTTAGCCAAATAGCAGAAGTTGGAGTTTGATTTGCTTATTTTTGCCACCACACAGGGACCGAAGTGTATTCAAAAGCACATATTTCCGAGCACTGTTATTCTAAGGGTTAAGATTTGTCTTTAAGATACCTGTGATTTGTAAATTGTCTCATGTTATTGTCATCATAAATGTTATCTTGCAGGCATACAATCCAAACTGTACGAGCCAAAAAAACACAAGGTGCCTCTACTCACGTCAAGTTAGTGCTCAGGAAACTTTCAAGTAAGGCAAACCACTTCTCTCCCTTCACAGCAGGCTGCATTTTAGACATCTTTATGCACAGATACTTAGAATGCGATAGAATACAGTATGAATCGGTAACATCATGAAATGAGGTCAGAATCTTCACATTGTCTCATGTAAAATTATGACGTTAAACCTGGAAAGTGGTTTGATAGGACCAAGTCGTGTGTCATATAAAAAGCAGCTCTCTCTGGAGAAGTAAAACTGTATATTCCCCTGTCTCATGAGAAAAGGGTGTGGCCTGGCATTCCTCTCTGCTTGGGAAGCTCTGGGAGCTTAGATCAAGCATGATTTGCAATAAAGAGTCTCAGTCTCTGTGTATCCACGAGCTGGAATGTGGGAGTCAGATCCCTCACAGCTGGGTCAGATCCCTTACAACCTGCAGAATAGAGGCATTGAAGAACAATCGTCACCCCCCCCCCCCCCCCCCCCGCCCCGCCCCGCACCAGAGACCTATCAGTGAACATGTGACCAGGCTGTAGGACATAACAATGATGTGGGCAAGGTGTCTTTGCTAGTCTAAATACTGACACACAAATGCATATTCCCAGTGCAATTTCTAGGAATTTAACTCGCAGGCCTCCAAGATGGGAAGGAATTGTCCAAAGGTCGGTTCCTAAGTGCTGTGGCAAAGGCGGGGGGGGGGGGGGGGGGCCGGGGGGGGGGGCTGGTGAATGGAGAACTAGGCGTGAGGCAAGTTCTAGGGGCCCCAGATGCTGAATCAGTGAGAAAGATGCTCAGGCAGCAATAATGGACTCTGAGGAACAGGCAGGATTAGGAGTTAAATAGAAAGAGAGAGTTGGAAAAACACTATGAGCACAGAATGGTAAACGAAAGTGAGAATAAGTTCGTAGAACAGCGAGTAGAATCTGTCAGCAAATAATCATTTCAACAAGTTAGTAATTCATGAGTCGCCACCACACCCTCTAAAAAATTGATCACTCGTGTAAGTGGCAAAAAATGGAGCCAATCAAAGAACTGATGTATTTGCTGAACTGTCTGTATATCTACATTTTCAGGAACAGCCCAAAACAGCTTCCTTCTTAAGAGGAAAGGAGAATAAATAACAGTTATAAATACTAGGCATTTACCAAAAACCTTGGTTTAGGCCTTTCAGGGGCGTTGGATTTAATGAACTAATGGACGCCATTACAAACTTCTCACTGTGACTACAAATCTGGACCATGGTGTAGCATGTCAGTTGCAACACAAGTGAACGGCCGTGGCAATCGATTTAAAAGCCAGTCTCAAACTTGCAAGCAGGTTTATAACTGCACTATCACCTGCTTATAAGGAACCTGTTGGCCACCTTCTGTTGAGCCTAGGTTAATAACCACCTGCTAATTTGTATAGTCACTGGTGTTTTTTTTTGTTGTTCGTTTAAGTGCTGATTTTAAAATGGCTTTCCCTGAAATTGTTGACCTTGTATTGCAAATTAAATCCTGGAATTGCCAAATCTCTGACAACTGGTTCATTGCTTCCAGAGAAGGGAATTAACATGGCTACAGCTGTCATTCCATTGCATTTTTCTTCTCAAGCAGACCAGCAAGGGCAAAGATGGTGTTAGACAGAGGTCGCAAGCCAGATTCTGTCTGCAAACATGTTTTGTTTGACCTCCACGGTGATTTAAAACATATTGAGCCTCTATTTAAAAATAAGAAAACTGCCGTAAAAATCTGACTCCTGGCTTCTCTTGGAAAATTAAAAAATTTGGCAAGCGAGGGTCAACGTCCATGGTGAGCTGTGGAAGCATGCTCTGTAGACAGTGCTCTCTTGGTCTACAGTCCACGTTCTCCCTATTGCAACCCACAAACCAACATGTAAGTTCCGTAAGGTCAGAACTTATATAATTCATTGTTACATCCTCAGAACCTAGAACAGAGCCTGGCGAGTAGTGCATGCTCGAGAAATATTTAATGTCGGATGAAATGATCTCTGGACACACAGGTAACTTGAGTGGGTGGCATTATAATGATACGAATGTTCCTACAGGCACCTGGGTGGCTCAGTCAGTTAAGTGTCCTGCTCTTGATTTCGGCTCAGGTCACGATCCCAGGGTCGGGGCAGTGAGTCCTGCATCAGGCTCCTCACTGAGCATGGAACCTGCTTGAGATTCTCTCTCGCTCTCTCTCTCTCTCTCTCTCTCTCTCTCTCTCTCTCCCTGTGTCCCTCTCCCCTGCTCACACTCTCTTTCAAAAAAACAAAAAATAATAATAGTTAATTAATTTTTAAAAAGACAATGGGCACGTCCAGGAATTGTCACAATGCATGTCTCAGTTAAAAACAAAAATCTGTGGGGGCACCTGGGTGACTCAGTCGGTTAAGCATCTGACTTTGGCTCAGGTCTTGATCTCACAGTTCGTGAGTTCGAGCCCCGCGTCGAGCTCTGTGCTGACAGCTCGGGCGAGCCTGTTTCGGGTTCCTTGTCTCCCTCTCTCTCTGCCCCTCGCCTGCTCATACTCTGTCTCTCTTTCTCTCTCTCTAACAAATAAACATTAAAAAAATTATCTAAAAAATATATGCAGGTCATTGGGGAGCCTGGGTGGCTCAGTTGGTTGAGCGTCCAACTTCAGCTCAGGTCATGATCTCACAGCTTGTGGGCTCAAGCCCCACATCAGGCTCTGTGCTGATGGCTCAGAGCCCGGAGGCTGCTTCAGATTCTGTGTCTCCCCCTCTCTCTGCCCTTCCCCCACTCATGCTCTGTCTCTCTCTGTCTCAAAAATAAATAAATATTAAAAAGATTTTTTTTTAATCTGTGCAGGTCAAATAAATTCTGCCAGTGCTTGGGCAGAAAGAGACAAACTACCTGCCTATCATTCTGCTCGCCCTGCTGTTTTTCTTATAAAGAAATATTTCTCTGTATCCCTGCTACTATCAAAAAAGTAGGGCCACAAGCATCAGGGCAAATGAGAGTGAACACAGACCCAGCACATTTCACTCATTTATATTTCTTGGTCTGGCGCCTGCAGGCATCTGGATTTGAAACTTCTGGAACAGAGACAGGAGTAGGTCTCCCACCCATGATACCAAGCTGCTCTTACCGCATTCTCCCCTCATCCTGCTCAGTAGGTTCTGCACTACAGCCTACATCTACGTTAGAGAATAAATCAAAAGTGGAATACAAAACCCTCCCTGGAAAGTCACGAAACCTAAAACACACTATTGCTTTAAATAGCATAACAGTGTGGCACGAACTTGTGTTTACAGCTCGAAAGGCATTGGTTCAGCTTTCTTGCTCATGGGGAAGGCGCTTAACCTCGAAAAGTCTCCAATTACTCTGCATAATGGTTGAGAAAATTTAAAAACTATGCGTGTCAGACTTCTGGCTGCCACTTAGGGTATAGAAAGCTGGAAAGGTGTTGCTCCCAAACATAAAGCAGGATATATCCTGAATATCTACAAATTGACAACTTTTCTGAAACCC